TCAAAATACGGCAAAGTTTGAAACCTCAAACCCGATTCACATAGTACCAAAGGTCTAGATTTAAAAGGATACATGTATTATAAGCAGGCAATGGAGTTTCATTAAACATTGCTGAGATACTTTTTCGCGCGCGTAAGACTTTCCAACTTTGTCCATTTTGAGATAACTTTTGTGGAACTCAATTATTGCTGCAGGCTTGAGTGCGCTGCACAGCGCTGTTCTGCCATGATGCACCACGAATATTATGTGCGGCGTTCCATGCACTTCAAGTTTCTTTTTCTTTGTAATATATGATAATAATTTTGACCTATGAGCAAAAATAACTTCCCGGAATCAACAGATTATCATGGAAATTATTGTTCGGTTTTAAATATCTTACCATCGTTTTGAATTCGGAACGAAAGTTCACGACAACTTTTTTCAATTTGTAGAAAAAAATATATATATAATATAAATCCAAAGTATAACTATTAGGACCGTTAGATTACGTTAGATAACGTGAATTGAAAAAAAAATATCACTGATTTCGAAGCAGTGTTCAACAAGTCAATACTAACTAATAAACACAGTTACAGTCGAATTTTTTCAGTTAAGGTTAGTCAACATTTGTCATCGAATTCGATTTAGGAATTATCTCGTTCAGTGTAAATCTTTTTCAGGAAGCAACTAATCTCATCTTCAAGAGTAAGTCGCTACGGCAACACAACTCATGGCCCAACTTGTGTCTTTTATTGTCATAAGTACATTATAGATCTGCCTATCAGCATCGTTCTAATCGCAATCTTGAGGTACTGCACATGCATCCAAGATGAATGAAGGATCAGATTTTCTTCAGATTGAAAACGTTTTAAGTCTCGGTACTAACACGCATTAAGGCATTAATAGTATTTCAAAGTATGAAGTTTGGATCACTTCAGAGCAATACTGGCTTCTTATTAGACTTAAGGAATTTTAAGCGTTTTACATTGAAAAGAAAAAACGATTCTTGGCTACTCAGTGTTAAAATGTTGAAGATGAAATATTAAAAGGAAAAAGGCAATTTAAGCATCAGAAGAATTTTGTAACGTATTAGAAGAATTTTGTAACGTATCTTCTTTATATAGAATATTACCGCTCTTTCATTGTATCGGTTAAAAATCGTTGAACCAGAGCAATGCATCAATTCATACAAAGCATAATTATTTTGCCATATAATGAGTGAATATGATTGGGAAACCATCTGTTCATTATTGCGATGCAAAATTGAACGAGAGCATGCGGAAACTTTAAAGCATCGTGCAAGTATTTTATTTTAACTATTAAATTAGTGCCTATCTATATACGAGCATGAAGATTTATTAAGTAACTAAATTGTGTGTGACGGATAAAATATGAATTTTTTCAGACTAGCAAAAAATTTGTTGCTCGGTCTTTCAGAAAATTTATTTTTCTTGAAAATTTTACAAATAAAATTTTTCGCGAGATTTGGCAATAATTTTAGGATCTAACTTTGATAAAGAAACATTTCATATCCAACATATCTTTTGTGAATTATTTGCTAGCGTAAATATACAGAAAAAAAGTAAATTAATTTTCGTCACAACGAGTTCCGAACAATGCACACTTTTCACAGAAGAAAGCATCATCTATAAATCTATACCCTCGAAAGTATTTTATATATAGTTCGTGGCATCATTTCAAAGATATTTCATGTCAACGGTAAAGTTTCTATTGGACGACGTCAGGATTGTGAAGTGGTTTGAAAAAATTGATTTCTTTGGAGTTATGAGTGTAGAGAAGCGCAGCTTTCGAATTCATAAAGAGTGAAAAACATCGCAGCAGCCTTAATTACCATTCATCCTTCTAAATTAGGAACAAAGAAGGCAAAGAAGTGAATATAAACGAAATGAATAAAGATTTAACTTTGATGAACTATAGTTGAATCAACATGAAGGATGACGATCATTATTTTATTTTATTTAAATGCATTAAGTTTCATCGCGAGCAAAAGTTTTCATTCTATAATTTGCATGGTTAAAATAACTATGTGATTCATAATCTGGATTAAGATAATCCGAAAATCAAATGAATTTGTGCTGATTAAAATTAAATGCATTTATGACGAGAATTGGTTTTTGGCCATCTTCTCCCTTTCATTCAGTTATCCCTCAGAACTGTATAGTTTTCTTTGACAGTAAAAGAGAATGACTTTTATTTCAGGATAAACTGCACAAGATCGATGTCAACGTTTCATCCAACATTCAACTCGTCGGCCCAAAGCATATGTAATGTTGTAGAAAATTAGGTAGCAATTGTTATATTTTTTAGGTACTTAGAGCCTGAGAATCGAAGCAAATGAACAAATACGGAATTAATAAAAATATGAATGAAATACTTTTTCACTTAGGGAAAACAGAAAAAAATTATGTATTAAAGTACATTAACATGTACAATATTCATATATTTGTTTATTTAATAAATAAATTTATATAATATAAATAGAACTTTCAGTTATTTGTTTGGGTGTTGAAAACCCCCTTCAATAATCCCTCATTTATTACCTTTCAGGTCAATAGAGCTTCAGAAACCTGCTTAATTAATGGGCTAATATTTATGAATTGTAAGTTCTAGCTCATTTCATTAAGGATCTTTTTCATACAAAATCATCGTCTGAAATTGTACAGAAGACGAGAGTGTACAAACATTCACTAAAAAATTCCCTCGCTTTCCATCCACAAAAAATGTGATCCAATTTGGATATTGGTTAGGACCAGGATGCGAATATCACAGCGATAAACTCTGTAGGCCTGATGTAGTTCGGCTATCATTAGGACCATGAACATAAGTAGTGGCGCGATACGAGAACTACTATAAAGTATGTCGATGCTATGGCGTTGAAGTTATAATTCCAAGTATGAACGCGTTCAAGAACAGACTAGATAAAGCTATGGAAAAATATATGTTCAGATTTGAAATGCCTAGCTCCTTATCGAACCCGGTGGAAGTCTAGTAGCTACTTCAAACTATCGCCAGTCATGAAAAGATACGGTCAAATGACAGGAGTTTAGATCTATGAACAAGGCAATAAAAGGAAAAGAATCGGCGACAGGCCACATCAGGCCTACACTGCAGCGCCGACATCACTATGTTATGTCATGCTTCCACGTTCTTCCATTGAGTATGTTGATGTTATTGACTGATTTAAGATGGAAGGTCACAGTTTCGCTTGCCAGAAGTAATTCAATTATTATACCTTGCTGAATTTTAGCATCAACGACATATGGTAAAAAAACTTTCAAATTCATATTGAAAGAAGAAAGACGGAATTATGGATGATTGTTTACAATAAAACTCGTGTCCTCTGGTCACTTAACTTTCCTCATCCAGAAGTCCTATTTATTTCTGTGTGAATGTGTTGGCAATAAATGTTATTGCGCGCAACCGCGTTTTTTAACATTGAGGGATGGCATAAATTAATGTCATATGCTCACTCATTTTCCCGTATCGATAATAATTCGATAATAATTTCTACGAGGGGCGTGTTATTTCAAACTCCGGGAGTGAAATTCGAAGCTGATGATGTAGGCTGAACCTAATGATATTGCATAGTGAAAATCGTTGTCGAATAAATACGCAATGCAGCATTTTTTTATTATATCATAACTGATACATTTTTGCATTCTCGATTTTTCGCATTACCTTAGTAACTTCACATTCTACTAGTTAATTTAAATCTACACTTGCAGTTCAAAATTTTACATTGTTTTTTGCAATAATTATGATTACCAATTGCTCAGGGTAGTCAATGGAGGTTAAATCTTGACGATGTCGTTACATAAAGAATGTGAGCCATAAATATTCGCAATCTCATGCATGACTCTTTACAGCCAACCAAACACAAAGTCCGTTTGAGAAAAAATATTAACGAGCCATGCATTTATATGTTGCATGCGTACTACGTGCAGGGTAAATACATATATTTACATAGTAAATAGACGGGATAGTCTCGCACATATAGAAATTTTGAATCGTTTCATGTCCTACAGAAAGCTCAGTCTTACAGTCATTGCTGTATGCCTAACTAGCCTAACTATCGTGGAAGATTGATTTATTCAGAGTTTTTTATTATTATTATTATTATTACTTTTCTTTGCGAGTTAGGTGCACGGCATCATCTGCAACTACCCAGTGCCTGCTTCATTCGCCTTTATCTTGAGAAAAAATCCTCAGCAGAGACATAAGAAATGGGTTCCTTTATAACTAACATAATATTCGAATAATCACTGAAGAGAATTTTGACTTTCTTTCCTAGTTGTTAGAACCAGAACGTGTTTAAATTATCTAAGATTTGGGCATCCTATATTCAATTCAGAGCCTTACTAAATTATTGCTCAGTTACTGAGGGGAGTTCACAGGCTGACTCGTCTGCATACATGCACTCACACAGCCAAGCTTAAGAGACTTCATTCATTAAGTTATTTAGTGAATAGTCAATTCAAATCTCATGGGACAGGATATTTCTCACGGCAGCTTTTTCAGCTTCTTCTTTGAATGATGCTTTGAGATTTGTTCAGAATAAAAATTTTTATTTGTACTTTAATTTGCCAACAAAGTGCGCCACATGAGAGTAAATACTAAAAAACTTTTGCCGCTATTGAACGCTGGTGGATTAGCTTGAAAACTGAAAAAAAATCTTTAATTGTTTAAGTTTACCGCTAGTGAAGTATTGCTCGCATTGCCTCAGGCTTATATCATCTTACTCGCATTGCTGCATCTTCTTGTTCGCATTGCCGCAGGCTTTTATCTTCTCGGTCGCATTTCCGCAGGCTTATATCTTCTTGTTCGCATTGCTGCAGGCTTATATCTTCTCGCTCGCATTGCTGTTGGCTTATATCTTCTCGCTCGCATTGCTGCAGGCTTATGTCTTCTCCTCTGAGTTGAATTTTCTTTCTATTTTCCAGTGTAGGGCAGAACACGTTCTCGAACGATGTACTCCTGTCACCTTGCAGCGGCAGTCGCCATTGACGCTCAGTATGGAGCGGGTGCACCAGTCCGTAGGCCTGCAGTCATCACTCGGTCAAGTAATTACGCTCCTAAATCAATGTGGCAAAATGTTGATTCTTTTTTCTAGAAAGTATTAGTCGGTGTCTGATTTCACGGTACTTTGTATAACAAGGGTGAACTGAAATTGGTTCTACTATATTAAATTGGGGCATAGTTTCTAGTGCTGTTGACGAACGAAGTGCTTTCATTAACGCTGAGACAGGATTTTCACCCTTGATTGTTTTTGTTTTGTTCGGCACGTGTTTCGCCGCGGCCGACTGATACTTCGCGTGTTTAAAGGGCACTGTGCAATAAAACAAGTAATAATGTAAATTTTTATATTATTTGTGTAGATAAAAAAATCGCGAATGGTTGTTTCTTGATGCTTGGAATAATGTCTTATTTTATTATATTCTATTTTATTATTATCTTCGACAATTTTAAGCCAGAGAAGCAAATATCATATACTACTACGACGGCATCGATAATTATTGATTGCTATGAAAGAATAAAAGTAATGATTGTGATATGAAGTGTAAAAAGTTAAGGGGCATTTCTTAAATTCCAATTTGAATATTTACTAATTATTTTCGTTGGAAATATCCATATTTTTGTGATAAAAGAAGAAACGTTCATCCATATTCCCGAATCGTTTAATATTCGTTATTATGCTTTTGTAGGAATCAGTCACCCAGATTGCCCTATCCTAACGAAATGTCTAGTGTCGAATATCCGGTCACTGATTCACAATCTCCAGTTGTCGACAAACTAACCTCTAGTGTCAACATCAGCAGCCTGCGAACTGGCACTTCGTTGCAAAGACACGACACTTTGTGAACCACTTTTCTGAACCCGTTTGGGAAAACAATGCATGGCGTTTACTAAGAAGAACAAACTATGTATTCACCCATTCTTGAGAGTTTTAAGCCCTCTAATATTAAGGAAGCTGTCGGCTTTCATCCATTTTTGACACACTTTTCCTCAGCTGAATAGTTTTATGTAGTACTAGCTGGTTGACCCCTCGTTGCTCGTTCCTGATAATTCCTTTTTCTTTAAATCGGATAAAATAGGATCAGGAATCCTATTTTACCAAATCCCGTTATTCCCACAACCCCTACCCTCATTATATTTAATAATTATAATGCTTGTGATGATAATTAAGTAAAGATCACTTCAAACACACATCTTGCACAGATGATAAGACTCTCATTTTAAAACATGGAAAGAAAGGTCATACGTCTATTGAATGAAATTAATGGTTAAAAACGTATCTGCAAAATAGCGTTTTGCCGTGCAGCAAACCTTCCCAGCTCGTAACTAAAATATGAATGAATAAATCCCGGGTTTTTGCTTAACCTAAAGTACGGAAAGCTCTAAATGAAAATGGAATAATTGTTACATGAAATATGAACACATTTATATTATTCCCTAACAGCAAGTAACTGAATCAACGAAAAAAGAAAAAGTCAATCTATAAGAAATTCGGATGTTGACTGACTGCTAATTATTTAAGGAAAAATGAATAAGGATTAAAAGGATTAATATAGTGAATATTGAATATTGCTGGTCCATACAGGTTCATGGCCACCGTTGTACGGTGACTGCTTGATTGCCATTGATAGCCTAGCAACGCTGATTTCAGTATTTACTTAAATACTGATTTTACTTTTTACATAACTTTGCCCACAGATGTACTGTTATTGCAGAGTAATTTCCAGGTTTTGATAACAATTTATTACTAATTTGAAAAATATCAGCAAGGGTTCTATCCATGAATAATTTCCTGCCCAAATCGTTTTAATTGCGTGGAGTATTGTATATCAACCATTGTTTCAACAGTGGACTCGAGTTCCGCTTGTGACATGTACATTTTTGCCGATGTTTCAGTGAAAATCTAGTATATCAAGGGAGTATTTTTCAGAAATTTTTTATACATTTTCTCATGGGTTCTGATTTGTTGACGATTTTTGTCTACGATATCGAAAAACAATAAAATATAATTTTGATATGCCATGAAAATTTTTGAAACGCAAAAATTTAATTATAAATTTTAACACGACAAAAATTTTAACACGGAAAAAATATTTAAAAATTTAACACGACAAAAATTTAATTATAAATTTTAAACTCTTTCTTAAAGTAATGCTACGATAACGACGAATGAATTAAATGCTTTGTAATAAAGGTCATTTCAGGATTTGAATATACTCAACCACATATGATACGTATTTATTTTGCCGTTGTGTGATATTGTGCAACACATAAACTGTGAAAACATGTTAGCTCGTGCGATCATTAACCTTATCACGTCCACATTCTCTCATTCTCAAGTCTTTTGTAAACATGAAGGCCACTTGTTAACACGTTCACGTCCTGTGGCCAAACCTTGTACCCCTATTACAAATAAAATGACTGAGAACACGGATCCATTATTAAATCTGGTCACTATACTTCGCAGTGAAAACTGTGGTCTAGTCGCCGTTATGATCGTTATATATGCTTCATTATGAAAAACAGGGTAGATGCTTCACGATGAAAATTATTCACAAGTCCCCATTTTAAGAACTATGGTGACTATGCTTCAGTATTTAAAGTACGCTCGATGCATCATCGTAAATATGTAGTATAAATTAGCTCATTAAGAGAATCATGGACTATAATCAATTATAAAAACTTTTAACTTGCTTTATTGTGCATGCTTTGTGTTACATATATATATACTTCAATATAAACAAGTGACTATGCTTCAGTATAAATATCATGAACAGGGCCCAGTGGGATAAACTTTGATCAAACTTTAGAAGCGATGATATAAAACCGTAAAGAACGACGTTCGTGCAAAATTCTTGTTACAAGGGTAACAAGAGTCGCTCAATCGCTTTCAGCTGTGCGTGGTCACGCAAGAGAATCTAATAATAAATATAATGCGGGCCAATGAATTTGCAATTTCATACGAACGGCGGGGAATAAAATCAAGTAGGGTTGAGTTTTCATTTCCTTTACCGCTTCTGTCCATAATTCTGTACTGGATCTTATATCGAATCACTGGATTTGCTGTGTGATGATCATCACTAAAATTATGTGTATTTCCAGGGGGTTGGTGAAAGTTTGTCTAAAGCAAATATCAAGGCTCGAAATAGGTAAAAAAAATATAACTCAGTACTCACTGCAGTGAGTGACAGAGAGCGCATTTTCTCGTCGACTAAAACGTGAAGTCACAGACGGACAGACAGACGGACAGACGGAAAGACAGACGGACAGACCGACGGAGAGACGGACATGGCTAGCACAGTAGTGCATTTTTCCATAAATGAGAAAATGTGCTAAAAAGAACAGTAATTGCACAAAGAAAATACGGGAGCCATGTTGCCATTTTGCGACACGTCAACTCGAAACGTTTACGCTTCATCACGTACTGAGTTGCATTTGGCATGCGCAGGCTTAGACGAGGTCACGTTCTGTGTTGGAGGTAGCCAGGCTACTGCGCCATTACAGTGATGGAATTATCGTATTTAAACATACACTTCTGCGCTGCCAGACGAATGTGTGCGTGACCATGAAATAATGATTAAGGTTATTGTATTCAGATGGGTTGACTTTCTGCAATAAATTTTTCTGCGGCTCCTCTGACACGAAATTTTCTTCTTTTATTTTATCCAGAAATTCTCTATACTGTCACCTTAGTGGAAAAATTTGAAACTTGAGAAGTCAAAAATTTAAATCCTCAAATTCAAGCACCAGTAACACTTCTCGGGCATCCATGTTACACAGCTGATGAGATCACTCATTATCGGGGTAAACGGATAAAAATCTATTTTCAAAACATTCTTTATAAGAATAAAATCCAGTCATAACGGCATAAAATCGTCCCTCCTGTAAGGTTGGGTTAGGGTACAAATCAACTGGTTTTTGCATGACTTTCATATACTTTTTTGGTCATTTTCTATCGCTACGGGCAAGATATAATTTGTGGTTGAAGGTCATGGGTCTCCTTATAGCGAGGTGCCTGGGCCGCGTTGCAACAATCTTAAGATGAAGCCAGATGGCTTCAGAGACAAGGTTTGCGGCTTCGCCTTCAATTTTTTGTTGGAAGCCATATTTTTGGGGGATGGAGGGAATATAAAAAATAATGAAAATTATTTTATTTAATTATAAAAATTACGAAATCTTCTTTTTCTTTGGGAATATATAATTTTATAAAACTATTCATGTTACAGGATTGCTATGATGTAATCCTGTACTTTATTCTGTTTGAATAAAGATTTCCACAGAAAATTATTCTGTATGCCATTTTAGCCTCTGACTGTTTCATTACTTAAATGACGCATATACCTTGGTCTGTTGAGTATCGCTTTTATTAATCATTATTTAACTGTAAATATTCCTCTGATTCATTCATACAACTCATCTCAGAAGTTAGTGAACTCATTTTGCTGAGGCAAACTGAATGTCAGCGGTGACGTTTGTCAAACCTACCAGTTAAATTTTTAATTGTATCAGATAAATTTATCTGTTCTCTGTATGAAAATATTAATCTTCAACGCATGTGTTTATTTATTGCAGATTTAAGAATGTCTGCCATTTACAGTTCAGTTTAAAATTGCAAAAGCAAGCATGAGTAATAGTGGAAAAGGATCATCGCTGGGCAGCAGCAAATCGTCTCCTAGTTTCCTGGACCAATATTCTAAACGGGATGAGACGAAATTACACGAGAATGGGAAAGAAGGCATCCCGCAGGATGAAAATTCCAGGCCAGCTAAACTGAAGGATGGAAAGCTTGCTGAAGAGAGATTAGAAAATGTTGGGCAGCAAATTTTAATGGCTGTCGATCAAACGAAAAATGAAATAAATATCGGTGAAAATACGAAGTCGTTTAAAGGTGATATTGACATGGTCCTTGATGAGGAATTTGATAAACTTTCCGATCCAGAAAAAGATGTCTCCGGTACCAAGGACCAAAATGACCAAACTTTACTTCCCAACAAAAAGCTTGGATCAAAACAAAACAACAATGCAAGTGTGAGGCCTAAAGTGCCATTCTGGAAAGTGTCGAATCAATCAAACCCTAATGGCGTCCGTGATGAAGAGAAGTCTCCTCGTAACAACACTAAGAGGAACATATTCTCCTCCTCCAAAAATCCATTTTTACAGACATCGTCGCAACCACAGAGTAGAAGAACCGCCAGACGATTTTCTGAACTTGATCCCCGTCAAGGTGAATTGATTTTACGGTCATTAAATAACCTAATATTATAGGTCTCAATTTGCAATACCCATGTACAGACTACAATCTATCTGAGGTAATGTTAGCGAATCCACCATTTCTAAATGATTATAAATGGAATACTAATACCATTTGAGACTAAAATTGCTGTCAATATTAGCTGTGAATATTTCTGCGCCATATTTATCTATTATCGCTTAACTTTTTTAGCAGGATTAGAGATGCCGGGCTGGCAAAGGAAACTCTCTCTTCTCTTCGTCCCTCCAAGTCAAGAGGAATTACAGGTAATTATTTCAATGGAAGTTGTTCACAATTTTACTTTACATTATATGAAATTAAAAGTAAAAGGCCAATTATTTGTTTTGTGAATCAGAAACACCAAAAAAGTATTTGAGAAATATGATGAACAGCAGGTAATATATTTAAACACAATATCTGTCGCTAATCGTTTGAAAACGCATATATTATATTTGGTGAGAGGTGAGGTGTGCTATATTTCGTCAAAATTAAATCGTTTTAAAAAAACACGCGAAGGAGGTACTTAAAAAACTGTATTCGCAGCTACCCATCCTATAGATGTAACTAATTTCTTTACTTTAAAGGAAAACAATTCTGTGTGATATACAAAATGTAATTCTGTCTGTATATATGTAAGAAAAAAATTTGAATTGTTGGATGATGCTCGTTTGCTTTCATTAAGCTATTCATATACTACATATAATACACTGTTATTTTTTTCATCTTCAAACAGATGAAAATTAAAGAGAACCGTGTATCACTATATCATTTGAACAAGTTAGTTAAGGAATAAAAAAGAAGTAAAATATAGGTATGAAGATGTGCAACTTTATACGCAAAAATCAACGCAAAGTTTCATGAAAACATCTATTGAAAAACTTGATACTTTTTTTCGTTTGAACGGTAATTTCGTAAGATGAGGAAACAGGGAAATTATTTACGTATAAAAATATGTGCTCTATTGGCTCACTTATGAGATAATTTTGTCAAACGCATACAGAGGTGAAAAAATTTGAGGAAAAGCAAAAAATTCCAAGCGTTTAAAAATTATTCGAAACCGTGAGTCAAGTTACACGGCACGGAAAAATATCTCCTATAATATCTCCTCAGGGAAAAATCTTCAATTATCTAAATATAGAACAACCAATAAATGAACTGATCTCGGACAAAACTTTAACATTTTATGAAATTTGTCTGCCTCACTGATGAGACCTTAATTGGATACTACTTTTTTGGTGATCAAAAATAAATGTATATCACCGTCATCAAAAATGGCGGTTAGTTATTGTGAGTCATAACATGATGAATTTGTTGACCCTATCATGGTTATAGACGGTATTTAACTAATTCCATAGTCTATGGATTAGTTTTGAACGGGTTTTCTAAAAATTCTGAATGAAGCTCTTCATTCATTTCGGCTTGAACATATTAGTCGCTTATCTTTTTTATGAAAAATCTTGATCAATCCTAATAGTTATTCATTATTCAGTAAGAATAGGGATTAAACACTGACTTTCCTGATATACTGTAGATTACATGGTTCTTGAGTTTAAAGTTTTAAACTTATTGAAAATTTGTAGGTTATTAACTAATTTAAGATAAAATCTACGCTGATGGTAGACGGTCAACTTCTGAACAAATGTGGTTACGCCCCATAATGTGTTCCGATGCTAGTCGATTATCCGAAATTTAATTCTCTTATACTAATTGCAATGGATTTTTGCTACAAAAATATTCCGTGCATGTTACCTGCAATGATCGACACATTGCAGCAAATTATGCGCTTCAAAAATCCTCGCATGGAACGCTTTGTTCGACGCGATTATTATTCAATCGCGTAACATTATTCATTCGAAAATCATTTTTCCATTGCATATTCGTTTATTCACCCTGACCATTTCTCAATTCTGATACACTGTAAACTGAATTTTTCATACACTCGTTCAGCACGTGTAGCGGTAATAGACAATTTACCGCATAAAACATCAGGCCGTTTTACCATCGTTTATTTATCCGTTACCATGCCGTCGCGTACATGGTAGCTTAATCCCCGTATCTGTCATTATAGTTATGATAAAACCTTCATAGTAGCTCAATTTAACCTGCTACTTGTGTAACACAATCTCATAACTGCCACTGCATTATTTCGCTGAATAATTGCATGCAGACTACTGATAAACGCCGGGATACTTCCTCACAACATTTACTGATAAATATTACAGTAGCCTGCTATTTATCCAATCCAACTTCATGATGAACGCCGAGTGGAGCAGTTAAAACAAACAACCTCATGATAAACACCATATCAGTCTGCTCTTTATCTCACACAAACTCCCGACAAACTCCGGGTCAGTCTGCTTGTTATCTCATTCGACGTCCCGACAAACACCGGACAGGATAAGTCTGCTTGTTATCTCACTCAAACTCCCGACAAACACCGGATAAGTCTGTTTGTTTTCTCACACTACCTCCTGATAAACGCCGGATTGCTGCGTTTGAAATTAAAATTATTGATTTGATTCAATTTTCATCTATCACTATCGAATCGTTTTTTAATATGGAAGCCACCCAAATTGTGCAAGATTTGCATTACACTGTTTTCGTAGTAGCTTCTGAACTCTCATCGCAAACCAATGCAGCTACTGAGAGTAATTTATATTCTTCCCCACGTTGCGAATGTCTCACAAATTTTCAGCTCAAATTTAATGAGTTCATTGTTTTGAAGTTATTTCAATCGTCCAAAAAGCGTTATATATATTATATTATAGATTATCCCGAAAAAGTTGTTCAATGTTTTCTGAACAGCCACTTCAATTATTTTCGACATTTTTCCTCCGATCTTTTTCTAACTTTTCAAAATATAGTTGACAAAAATACTTAGGCTCAGAGCAAAGCGTAATGCGGTCTTCAGAGAAGTCAGGGTCTGGACGAGGGTTGAATCTCATCAAAGGCTACCCGTTCAGGATCTTAAGTGGACTTTATGATAGTCTGCGTGTTGTATTTTACACGAAACTATCACTTGCTCAATGATGGTGCAATGTTTCATACAACTAATTTAAGTCGATCATTTATAGCGCTCTCTGAAGCCATTCTATCACTTGTGATTCAATTAACTTGATGGTGGGTAATCAAATTTTAGACCTTTTATATTTTAAATTCTTCAGAATTTTTTTTTTTTCCTCAAAATTGCTTGTAAAATTTGTGTTCCTGCGCACTGATTGCTTTTCCAACTGCCTTGTCTCAATTACACTGTCATGAAACTTCATCATGCATTGTCTATTAGTCTACAAGCCAATAGTGGGCATATGGGGCCGAAAAGATACATTTAGGTGGTTTTACATAACCTGTTCAAAAAAATATAACTCAATACTCACTGCAGTGAGTGACAGAGAACGCATTTTCTCGTCGATGAAAACGTGAAGTCACGGACGGACAGACGGACATGACGATCACAATAGCGCCTTTTTTACATAAATGAGAAAATGCACTAAAAACGGTGAGAAAAAACGGACATAGCAAGGTTTTAGTGCCCGGTCGACCGGTGAAATAATACCATGTGGCGTTTTTTTTCAAGTTAACGGAAATAAAACTAAACCGACAGTTTTTTCACCGTTTTTTAGTGCATTTTCTCATTTATGGACAAAATGCACTATTGTGCTCGCCATGTCTGTCCGTCTGTCTGTCTGTCTGTCTGTCCGTCTGTCCGTCCGTCCGTGACCTCAAGTTTTCGTCGACGAGAAAATGCAGCGCTCTCTGTCACTCACTGCAGTGAGTACTGAGTTATATTTTTTTTAATATGGATGATTTTAGACAATCACCCCAGGAATTCATCAATGGCTGCGAAATCGTTCAGAGCGGGCAGAAATCTTTTCGTGTTCTTCTGGGGTTTGGCTAGGTTGTTTGTTTATATTATAGGGATATTTCGTGCAGGCCGGTAAATTATTGGGTTAGGTTTTGAAGGCCGGTAAATCATAGGGATAGGTTGTGTAGGCCGGTAAATTATAGGGTTAGGTTGTGTAGGCCGGTAAATTATAGGGTTAGGTTGTGTAGGCCAGTAAATTATATAGGGTTAGTTAGTTGTGTTGGTAGGTCAAAGGTTGGGATGTTCAAACCCATGTTGGGGGTTTGGTTGTTTGGTCTCAGCGAAGATTGTCGTCTGACGATGAGAGAAAACGTTCTTTTTATGATATTTAACTTTCGCTTTTGTTGTGTTTGTAGTGTTAAGCGATAGCTAAATATTGTGCCTCTTGCTCCCCCTAGGACAGGTATATAAGTAAAAAAATGTCCGAAGCTCATGGTCAAAACTAATTATTAACTTAATTTTATGGTAACGTTTAAAAAAATTATGTATTATTTAATTCATAAGATTTATAATATAATTTTAACCGTCTAATAACACAATTTTAGAGAATATGAATTATAACACTACTTTCATAATATTTTGGAGAATAAGAGAACTGTTTAGCTCAGACCACATGAAGCCAGCCTGTAGCCATGTCTTCGATATTCTGCACGCGTCTCATTGGAAGGCGCACAACTAAAATAATGGATGAGGTTGGCGAGGTTACTGTGCAGTGTATCAGGAATACGAGGTCAAACTTCGGTAACGTCTGAAGAAAAATTGTTGGCTTTCATTTTATCCCATTACTCTTGAATTTCATAAAACTAAAACAACTATTTCATAAAAACTATACAATGCGCACCAATTAAACGTTCACAGGACTTGGATACTCCGAACATCAATACGTACGTAGAGAGACTTCTTACATCATACTGGAGAGACCATACATGGCGCAGTACATCAAAGTATCTTATATACATCGTATAGAAAAATTGCAGACATGCATGGATAATTGCTTCTTAAGTGTGAACGGAGTTACCACTTGGCTTGTGTCACGGATTTGAGACCCATATATACAGGGTCCGCCATATTTATGGCAACGGATGTTTGATAAAATAAATTGGTTTCTAGGAGACTCTTCTTTTATAATGAAGCCTAATATCATCTAATAATTCATCTATTTTATATTGCAGAAGTCTAAGGTGTCTAAATTTACTATTACTTATGGCAGTAGATAGAAATGCAATTGTAACCCTTCATGAAAAGGGCGAGAGTAATTCAGTCACTGCCAAAAATGCTCCAACTTCGTCGTGAAAATGTGTGGAAGGTGGTAAAAAAATCAAGGAAACTTGTGAAACATGCAATCAACCTGGTCAAGGAAGGAAACGAAGTGTCCGGACAAAACAATTGGTCAAAAACACGCGGGAGAAGTTATGAGAAACCCTCGTCGCTCAGCTGCAAAATTGGCTGCAGAAGCAGGAGTCAGTCAGACATCAATGCGTAGAGTCCTCAAAGATGACCTCAAAACCTCCCCTTACAAGATGCAAACAAGGCATGAACTAACAGACCGTCATGAACGAATGAGGCTCGAAAGATGCCAGCACATTCTGGATCTCATTGAGGATGACAGGCTGTCCAACTTGGTGTTCAGTGACGAGAAAAAATTTGACATTGAACAGAGCGTTAACCGTCAAAATGACCGTTAACGCAGCGGATGGAGTTTGGAGTCGGGATGGATCTATGGCAACCAGAACAGCAACACGACATCAAAATCCCATGTCTGTGATGGTTTGGGCCGCGGTGACCGCCACTGGGAGGTCCCCACTCGTTTTTGTCCCCTCAGGAGTGAAATTGAACAGTCAGCGATACATTTCGGACATTTTGGGAGCTGTGTTGTTACCTTGTGCCCGTTAACACTTCAACGGCTCACCACGGAGTTTTCAACAAGACTCTGCCCCCATCACATGGCTCAAACATGACCCAAAACTGGATTCAGGGTCACATCCCAGCGTTCATTAGCAAAAATGAATGGCCTTCAAGAAGCCCTGATTTGAATCCTCTCGACTTTTATGAGTGGGCTATTTTAGAGATTTAGAGAGTAGGGTCTGCAGAAAACCTCATGATTCTTTGGATAGTTTGAAGTCTAAATTGACACGAGAATGGGACTTGATCCCTCAAGAAACGCTGAGTATCTCTTGTGGAGCTTTCCCGCGTAGATTGGTGGCAGTCATTAAAAAAGGGTGGTCATATTGAATAAATATGCCTGAGAATTGTTTAGGTAATTATTGGCTACTAGCTCATCTAATAAAAAACAATGCACCTGTCTGTCTCATTGAGAAATAACAAAAAAAACATAAATATGGCGGACTCTGTATATGGGGTCACATTTTCTAATATCATTCTCCTTTCTTATTACTTAACATTTTCCCCAAGGCTGGTTGGTTGCACAGTAATCTCCATAACGCGTGGAATCAAGGCACGGTCACTTTATATAACCGAGATTTTTTATTTTGTACATTCAAAGGGAAGGGAAATAATAAAATCTAAAATTAGCTGTCCAAGAAATTATTTCACTGTATCCTGTTCTTTTCGGGAAAAATTCTAATTTAAACTCATATCCTGCCCTGTTGCTTTAGAATTTTTTCCATGCAATCGAACAAAGCTTACTAATTTCTTGCAGATTGATGCTGGAGATTCGACCGAACTCCTCCCGGGCGGCGATGCACCAACGATTGTCGCGTCGAACCGAACCAGCCGAAGCAGCAAGAAGAAAACCAAACACGCTGGGGTGACCGCTAATAAGAAAATTTCCAAGGTCTCTGACAACATCAAAAGCAGTGGAAATCTCAGGTTAGTGTTTAATTTGACGAATATTCTGTCTGATTTTCGAGTAGAGGATATATTTTCATGGCCTCTGTCAACATCAAAAGCAGTGGAAATTTCCAGGTTAGTGTTCAATTTGAAGAATATTCTCTATGATTTCCAATAAGGCAGAGATATTTCCAAGGTCTCTGACAACATAAAAAATAGCTTAAATCTCACTTTACTGTGTTATTTGACGAATACTCTCTCTTATTTCCGGGTAAAAAGAAAAATTTTTGTGGTCCCTGAAAACGTGGATGACGTCCACAATCTAACATGAATTATTTTTTTCTGAGCATTTGGCTATTATTTTCCTAAATTCACAGTTAGTAAAGACATTTATAAGGTCTTGGAACATTAATGAATCTCCAGTCATAGTGACTCATTAAACTATTATTTTCACTAACATCTTTCGGAATTCCTAGATAACATTGAACCACCCGGCGATTCAAGCTAGTTTCGTTTTTTAACTGTTATACATATATACTTAATTGGGAAGTTAACAACAACTTTTAGATTTAATTTTCGACACATTAAATTATAAAGAAATTATGAATTTTAACTTCAAGCTCGAACGTGATATGTTTTTGATCGTGTTGTTATGATAAAAGATGCGTTAACCAAGAATATATATAAGAAAAATACTCTAACATTACACAAAGTTTCTAAACTTTTATTTTAATATTTTTGTTGTTGTTGAATTCAAATTTGAACAGGATAATTGTTTTTTCATGAGAAAGAATCAAGAGAATTTTTCAACATGTGTTGGTTGTGAGTTCATTACATTCAATTTTTGCCTCGTGGTATATTCCACCCACGACTGTAAATTTTTGAGAACACTTGTCTGTTCGTTGTGAACCTGAAGTGGAGCAATGACGGCAGTAGCACCGAGGTGTGACACACTTTAACTTTTATCTCACCGTCAATTTGAGAAATTATGGCATGTTTATTGCTTCATCCACATATTAAGCTAAATTGCGCTTCATGTCAAATATTGCTACTTATTTATGAATTTTCTTCTGAATTTTCTTGCTTTGCAAATTTTTTGAAACACATTAAGATGGTTGGACCTGGGCGATCAATACTATATAGTGATAAACTCGTTTTAGGCCTAACACTAAGAAATGCCTGATCCATGAAATAATGAGTACGTAAAGTTTAATACATTTCATTCACGAATAGAAGCGAAAGTAATTCAAAGAAAACTCAATTCTGCAATGTTTGCCCCCGGGAGAAACGTCATCGATTAAAAAATAAAGAAAATTGTAAATTCTTAATAAACCTTTTATGGTTGGACTCTACAATGTTGAGAAGCGACTTCACACTCACGCACGACGTAAATATTAGAACGATAAATGGTCGATAGAACGACAGGTCTTGTGATAATAAATTCCTAGTAAATATGTAATTCGTATTGCACTGACTGATAAGACGTTAGATGAGACCTTCTTGAAGATAAAGACCAGTAGTCGTGTCTCTCTTGAGGCACGGTTGTCAGTACGGTTCTCGTAGTGGTGCGACTCCATGGCTCAAGTGCCTGAACAAGATTGAACTAAAGAAATTATTGATGAATTTACTTTAAATTTAATAACTTGAACCTGATTTTGTGCTAATAATTAATCAGAGATACTTTACATTGTTATTAGGCTGAAATGATGAATGATGATTCGAGCTCAGCTTCTGCGAAAGCGGACCATGAAGAGCCCGGACGAAACAATTTGCCGCAGACGAAATCACATGACGGAAACGAATTACTTTTCGATAACGCAACTGAGAATGGACAAAGTGGCTTACATCCTGATCATATTGGAGTGATATTTTCAAACGTAACATCAAAGCCTATTGAAACAGAGTGTAATGGCGCACCTGCAAATCTAAATAAAAGAATTGCTTCAAATGTAACACTGAATTCAACAGAGAAAACAAATTCGGGGGAAAATCTTGATTCGATGCAAAATCAAGAAGAAGAGGCTTCGAGTATTCCTATGGAAAAAGAATTATCCACTTCAGAAAATAAGACTTTGAATGAAATTCCTGAACATTTTGAAGGCGTTATCAATTCACAATATGAAATGGAAAATTTGAGCGATTTTAGATCAGAATCAAACCTTCATCCTGAAGAAACCTCGCTTGTTTCTGAAACGCAACCAGCTTCGAATAATGGTATTCGTTCATCTCTGAAGAAGAGTAGAACTTACGAAAGACTGAAGGGTAGTGATTGTTCTAAAGCTGTTCATATAGCTTACGAAAGGCCCATTGTTATCAAAGACAGAAATGAGGCAATGTAAGTTTGACCAACGATATCAGCGTTTACTGCTACCCCTACCATACAAAGTCTATTATTTAGCATACAGAAGTTCGGAACAAGAAAACCAGAATTGCTTGAATTAATCTTAAAATCAATGCTATGGTACTAAAAATACTGAAATGTTTTTTTATGCTCTATTGCACTCCAAAGTTCGCTGTACAATATTGAATATAATATTAGGACTAAAACTTATCACGAAATTATTGAATTATGGAGCGCTTGATCTCAATTGCCGTGCTGAATACAATACAATCCGAAACGTAACAACATTTTCATCTCCTAAAATACAATTCTGCTGCCGCATCAAACTATAAAATGCAAGGCGCCAAAAAGACAAACAATCTAACATGCACATGAAGTCATAGTTTATTGTATTCACGTCTCCAAGATCCCCAGTACTTTGTTTTCAAACATGTTTCACGTTAGTTCTTGCTTTTATAATTCAACGATCTGGGTTTTGCTTGCGTTATTTATGAAATCAATGAGACTGGCCAATCTGTGTATATATTTTTTACACATAAATATACTCTAAGCTTTTCATGTTATCTTTTCGTTGAATAAGTTAATACCCTGAGGGGAAGTGATCAACAAGATCCCTGATATGAATGAAAATTAATTATCAGCATACTTTATGTAGTATGCAGATAATTCTGGCTATCTTTAGTCCATTTATTAAAATTAATCTATTTTCATGTGAACTGTTCAATGAGATCATTGTAAATCAACGGTTTTACGGCCATTGAGCTTTAGAATATCATTTGTTTTTTTGATATACGTCAATAATTTAAATAAAGATTTGAAACGTTTACGTGCCGCTAATTCCCTATTAACAGTAATTATTAAAATGAATGTAATTTTCAGTAGTTCCTTTATCAATTAATTTATGCCTTTGAAATACGTAAATTCCACACGCGCATCTAATTTAGAACAGTGGCTATAATTATATTTGAAAGAAGATGACTTTACTTCCCGGCCCAACATTATAATTATCGAGTCTTCATTTTATCGAATTATCGTATCAGTAATAACTAAAAAATATTAGGTGGCCAGCTAAAAATAATTCACCTAATCACGCCAACATATTTGTTACAGTGATGATGATTCAGCTTCGTCCAACTCATTGTATCAGTAATGAATACAAAATATTAGGTGGTCATCTAAAAAAATTAGCTTAATCACGCCAAAATTTTTGTTACTGAGATGATAATTCAGCTTCGTCCATCTCATTGTATCAGTAATAAATAACAAATATTAGGTAGCCAGCTAAAAAAAATTCTCTCAATAACGCCAAAATTTTTGTTACAGTGATGATAATTCAGCTTCATCGTCGGACGAGGGCGCGCCAGGATCGACTAGACGCAGCGAACTTTCGCCTCTGATGGACCGTCGGTCGCGGCCTGGGACGACCAGTTCGCCGGACGGGGAAGTCCCGGCCTACGAAGACTCAATCTGCTCCAACAGATCAGCGTACTTCAAGCGATTCTAGTGAGTCCGGGGCTTGTACGGTGATCTAGATTTTGAACGTTGGAGCATTCAAATCTTCCGTTATAGTGTTCTGGATACTCTGTTTTAGCGTTCTAGATCTTCTATTATAGTTGTATTATATATAGTGTTCTAGATCTCTGTAAGAGCGTTCTAGATCTTTTAATATAGTGTTCTAGATCCTCTGTTAGAGCGTTCTAGATCTTCTAAAATGGTATTCAAGATCCTCTGTTGTAGCGTTCTAGATTATCTGTTGTAGCGTTTTATGTATTCTATTGTAGTGTTCTAGATCCTCTATTGTAGCGTTCTAGATCTTCTATTATAGTGTTCTAGATCCTCTGTTAAAGCGAAATAGATTTTTTAACAGCGTTCTAGATATTCTGTTTTAGCGTTTCTAGATCATGTGTTATAATGTTCTTGGACGAGTAACGCAGTAAATGAATGTAGGTATTATCGTATTACAAACGATTCTAATGAGACAATGGCTTGAGCAGCGTTCTTGAAATATTACTTGAAAAAATGTTTATTAAAGGATCCTTTGTTCTAAAAATGACTTAAGGGAGTCAATGGCTGGTGTAGCGTCCCTAAACGAGTTTAGCTGAAAATATATGTAGAAACTGAACCACTTATTTCAATGATTCTAATGAGTTAATGCTGTGAATTGCATTAACGGATAATTAGAACGTCAAATATTTTTTTTTTTGCTGAAAAATAGTCCATATGCTTTCATCGAGTCACGATTTGGACTGTATCAAATACAAACAAAAATTACATTATATTTATATTACATTGAAGTTATTCACACCTAAGGCAATTTATATCACATTCGCTTCCTGGGACCTAATATAATATTAGAACTTCTCATCGTGCCATTATGGCATTAATAAATGATACATGAATAATTCTCAACCAAACGCTTCAAAAGATCTCTTCATAGGTTTGGTAATTACATTCAGTTATGATTTATTACGAATATGTGGGATTATTTAAGATCGAATAGTATGTTTTTGCGTTAGGTTTCAGTGATCAGTTGCGCGAGTATTGATATTCCTTGTAATTTCTTAAAATTATGACACAATACATTATTAATGGGTTTTCAATCAATTGACATCAGTCTCTAAGTTCTGTCAGCGAAAATGCTTCGTTTTCAGAGAATATTATTAAATCTGGATGTATATCTTTTACCTTGTAAAATGACATCGTACATTAGAATGTCATACGTTAAGACCCCATAATACGTTCTGGATATTGCGTCTGTTGGTTTCACCATCCATATATGATTATTAAAAACGCGCTCAATTACGAGTAATTCAATGAGAAAAAAAAATTCCATTCGGTGTTAATACAAGATTTTTTTTCTTCCAGTCGACAAAGTGGGAACTTCGATGCAGCAGAACAACAGCCCTCAAACTTCAACTCCATCGCATCGCTCGTCCGCGAGAAAAATGTAAAGGTATCATTTTAAGTGTTTTATTTTTTGGTTTGGTATAGAAGTTAATCTCCGAACATTGTGTACTAAATCAGTTCGGATTGCAATAGCAGCTGAAAGTTTAGATTTTGTTTGATCTTAAAAAGGGTTGTACGCTTACATTTTACTTTATTAGTGTTCCCATTGATGAAGAATTTAATTTCCAAAATTTAGGTTATTATTTTATATTTTAAAATATTGCCTTATATATTAATATTGTGAGGTAAATATTTTGTGAGTATTCGAGTATTGAATATGCGTGATGCCCGCATAAAAAATTTTAGCAAAACTGAAATTTTTAGTGGTGTGAGCAAAAAAGTTATTGCGATATTTCCAGTCAGCATGAGTCAATTGAAAGGAAGTTGAATGTACGCCTGCCAACTATATTGTTATTCAGTATAGATAAATCAATTAATTAATTAATTATGATTATAGAAAATGCCTGCAGTTGAAGAGAAGAAGAAGAAGCCTCCTGAAGACTACCAGAACCTCGCTCTGTCCATCATTCTGCTAACCATCATCGTCATTCTGATCACTCTTATTTATCACTACTATCATCTCCACATCTTATCTGTGAGTTTCACAAATTTTATTTAACAGGAACAATTTTTACATCTTATCCGTTCCGTCAATCAGCCTTGATTTACATTTTGCCACAAGAATAAAAATGTGTAATTTTTACCTTTATTGTGATTGTAATAACCGAACAAGATTTTCGCGTCAGTTTTTCAAGCTAATGAACTTCGAAGAAACTAATTTGTTTCGTATTTACAAATTTTAGATACTTGGGTAATGGTGCAACTTTCATGAATGAATGCTCTAGAGCGTAATCGAAGTTAGTCATAACACACATTATAACTAATCACATAAAGCGACATTAGTCATAAACCTGAATACTAAGTTAATAAAAAATAAGTTGGAAACGACGATGCATACAGCATCTTTTTAGACAATTTTTCCGGTAAATGCATGACTTACACCAATTTATATGATAATAGCTTCTTCAGGATACCCCTGTTTAAATACCCCTTCCTCGTTGCAGGTGTTCATCTTCGACAGAATCAAGATTGTTGAAGCAGATCGTGTAATGGAGGTGATGAGTGTGGACGACGAGTCAGGGTATCGCGCTCCGCTAGTCAAAATTAGACTCGGAGTTGAATTCCCGGTCAACACAGCGCACACAGACTGTACAGATTACCTGACATACCTGATCGACGTTATTGGAGAAAGCAACGATCCTCCGCAGAAGCGGAAAAGAAGATCCTTTGAGGGAACGGTGCGGAGTCTGGCTAATCGTAAAGCAGCCCTCAGTTCAATTTCACCAACTGAGCAACTGAGATCGGATTCGCTAATTACCTATAACAAACTCACAGATGCATCGAGACGGGAAAAACGCTCGACTGAAACTAAAGTTACTGAGACGAACTCAACTGATGCAATTCCCAGCATTGGTTCCGATAAATTGGAAGTCGCGATCAACACAACATCGGATGACGAGAAATTAAACGAAGTTGAAGATGACACAGAATCTTCAGACGTTTGGTTCAACAATATGTTAGCCCCAGCTCAAGCTGTTATGGAAACGCTTCCTACAACCACAACTGCATCATTAATATCTGAAGACAAAATTCATAATTCCGACCTTCTCATTGAACCAATTTTAGCTGAGAATGATGATCCAAAATCCAAACCAACTCCACAGGAAGCGCTAGATCAGAAACCGACAATTCCTGCACGAAACCCCAACATCGGAGGTGCATTTGACGATCGGAATCATGTGAACGGGGATGCTGTTGCTGGCCGAAGAGTTTATGTTGCAAATGAAGCGTCTGCTAAAATTGATCGGGGTAATACGAATTATATGATCGAAGCTGAAGAAGAAGCCGTTTCAGTAGAAGATTTTCCTTATGGAATCTACGAAACGGACCCGTTTCAATTTGGAGATCATTTTTCCGAGTGAGTTTCAAATACTTCTGAAGTTGCTTTGGAGTACGAATTAAGTATTAAAATTCAATATGTGAATCTGTTGCTGAGCTGGATCAATTATTTTGACGATTTCTAAACGGATAAAATTTTTATTGATTTATAGATTGAAACTCAATTAGACTGATTATTTTTTTTAATAAAGTTCGCTCTTTCAATGTATTATATATTTTATTGTTTAATATGGAGTAATGCCTCTCTTTTTCAGCATGCAGTGCGTTGATTTCAAGAACAAAGCTAGACTACAACTGACACACCGGCCCCCACTGGATGACGTGGACTGTTTCAGCGTTCATTGGGAATCTTCCAGCTCCGACCTGGTGATGAAAGATTGCTTCATTATGGACAAGAACACGACAGGTGTCTGGTGGGGTGTGGGTGATGTAACTGGAGGTGCCATGCCACTCACAAAACTGGATAAAATATCTGAGACCGCTTTGTATTCTGGTCAGATCCAGCAAAACGCTGTTGGTGGCCTGCTGCGCAGGATATGGATTTCATCTGAAGGAATTTTGGTATCCATTCCGTTTGCAGCTGGCGCGAAGCTGAGTGTGAATGCTCTGCATGAACCCAGTAGGGAATTTTGCTTACTATCGGAAAATGATGTAGATTTTAATCACCCCAATGTCCGCAAAAACCTTAATTTAGATTATACGCTCTGTACTGCCCCTAAAGTTGCTTCACTCTTGAGTAAACTGAGTGACATAGAACGCATGGACAGCATTGAGTATGCCACATCAAAATGGCATAAGTCCCTTCATCCCTTGCCAGATGATGTTGAGCTCATCCACACGCCGGCGGTTGTAACAAGTCGAACCTTACGCGAGGTGGCAGATCGATTCTTGTGTCCCATTTGGCGGCCATGGATATCAAAAGATGAGAGCTCTATTGATCAAGATGATGTTATCGCTTATGTGGAGTCAATTGCTTCAAACCTACGCAACACCTGCGGTTATGTTTTGCTTCCAGTTTCGTGGCAAACAAAACTTGGCACTTTAGAGTTCGATTATCATAGATTTCCCAACCCAAATCTGTTGATGGAAAGGTTGAACAGAAAAGGACTAAAATTGGCATTAACATTATCATCGCTAATAGACGTTGAGATTGCAGGATTTACTAATTCATCGATTATGGATTTGCTGATTCGCCAGATAAATTCAACGCTTCCGATTTTAGTTCCTTCATCGAAAACTAAATCTGCGGCAGTGTTAGATTTCACTAATCCAAACACCGTGGAATGGTATTCATCTCAGTTGATAAAGCTCAAAGATAAGTACGGTATTAACTCTTTCCATCTTTCACCGACTAGCACGCAATCTTTGCCACCATACCGCAAGTTTTACAGTGCACACCCTAATCCTGATTATGCCATTCGGCAATTTATAACAGCAGTCTCGCGAGTAAAGGCTCCGATCAGCACGAATACTGCCATCATTCCGGTAGATGCCCCGACATTCTTAACTGTGAGTTACGTAGATTCCAGTTGGGATATGTTAGAAATGCTGCCTAACAGAATTATTACAATTAGTGCCGTCGGTGGAAATTTGGTGGATGCTGGGGTTGTGGGAGGCTGGTCCACTCAACCTGGGCAAATTCCAAGCAGAGAACTATATGTTCGTTGGATGGGAGTGAGTGCATTCCTTCCGGCTATGGAAATATCCGTTCTACCATCTATGTACGATTCAGCAGTAGTGGCTAAAATGAACGATCTCATGAGAATTAGGGAGGAATTGGTTATTCCTAGGTTCCGGAAAAATCTCAATGAAAGTATTACCAATAATTACCCATTGGTATCACCATTGGCTTTGAAATTCCCAAAGGACCTAAAGAGTTTATCCATTGGAGACCAGTGGATTGTGGGGGAAGACTTAATGGTTGCTCCCGTGCTGAAAAGAGGTGCTCGGTCAAGGGACATTTACTTGCCACCTGGAATATGGAAAGACATTTTGTACGATAAGCTGTTGAAAGGCAAACGATGGCTAAAGAATCACAGAGTTGCGAAAGGAAAAGTCCCGTATTTCTTACTTGTCAACCCTGAGAGAGGACCAAAATCGCAAAGAGAAAGGAAAGAAAAAAGCATCTGAAGCATACTGAACTCTGATCCTTAGTCACTAATTCAAGTTAAAAGAAGACTTACGGTATAAAAAATAGTCCATCCATGAGGGGGGATTTTTATCAGGGATGTTAGATCATGTAGAATGGTTAGAGGACTTAGAATATGTAGAACCGAGTTTATTTGAGTTGATTTTAAATAGGCCTTTAGTGACTCAGCTCTTTCTTCAATAATACTTGAAGTTTTTAAGCTGTAACCCATGTTGAGGTATCGACAAAATTCACGAAAATTTTTTTCATTAATCTTGCGGTTGTTCCTTGTCTCTGGCGAAAATAAGATTAATAACATCTTAGCAGCTTGACGGATTTTTCAAGTGCCGACGTCGTCATTTTGGAGCGATGGTGGCTTAATTAATTCATTTTCTCAGATGAAGAAACGATGTGGACCATTTTTTTGCCCGCTTGACGATAATTGTTGCTTTTTTAATGCCGTACTTGGATTGGTTCAATCAAGTCGCGGTTATGCTACTATCGATTTGTTAGTTGTGTAAAAGTAAACCCTATGAGCTGATTTAATGTGCCAGAATATGTTAAGGTATAAATGAACTTTTTCACTCTAATTAATTTCATGTGTTGATTGCTCTGAAATTGGGATGTGCCTCTGTGTTGTGTGTATCAGTTAAAAAACGCCAGAATTTACTGACTGTCCGATGGTCCACATATTACCATTTAATATATTAAACAACATGTAGCTAATATATACATTTATATATAAACTGTAAAGACATAAATGCTAGTGGTACTGTAAGCCAATTTGAAGTATATAAAAATGATAAGTAAAATAAGTGAAAATTTTAACTTTTAACTCTCATTTACTGCTAATTATAATTCTACGGTGAGAAACGACGAGAAATGAAGACAGCCTCGATGTGTGAATACCCTTATAAAAATTAGTTGCATTTTGTCAGTTATAAAGGGAAACAGAACAGAAAACACCGTTTACTTGTTTTCTGATACAGAAAACAAGTGAACGGGATTAACGAAGATTTTATCTGAAGAATAGAGACAAGCGGGAATAAAGTCGGCGCAATGATCAGAGAACTTGACTTAAAAATGAAACCCGACTACGATAACAACGAAATTATTGAAATATATGATCGCATAATTATAAGTACGAACAAGATTTTCGGATCTACCGTTGATCGCAAGGCAGAGTCACTTCAGCCGAGCTCACCGACAGCAGCGTTGTAAGACGCGCTCGCTACGCACGCCATATGGAGACGCATGCGCACGGCATATGTACGGCCTCTTCTTTGCGCCGTGTAAAAAACCACGAGAAAGTTTTTGATGAACCTGCAATGGGATGCTCGTCCTCCATAAATATTTATTCGCATTTTTCATATAACTTTTTACTAGCAAGCAGAAACGTTGCTATCACATTTTTTAAGATAAATTGGTATTGATCCATTTAAATGTGATATTTCTAAGAATGAACTAGTGCTGTTACGTACGAAAAACTGGTGAGAAAGTTTTAAGACATAAAACTTGCATAAAAATTGAACTAAACTATTGGTATTAGCCTTCAGTTTTTTTATTTTTGATAAAGAGTTTTATCGTTTGAGATCTAGGAACGATTTCCTGCACATGCATTATGCAAATATTTTGCTAAAATCATGCGTAACAATAGTCTCTTGTTTATATGTATGTTAATTCAATTATCTTAGAGTAGTTTAAATACTAACTTGGTCCTGAACGCTGCTTTGTGAGCCGAAGAAAATATTTCATCGAATGCATTTACAATTTTAATCATATAGTCATTTATATGATAGATAGTAACACTTTGAGAAAATTTCGTCCCATACTTTGACGGATATTCAAGCTATTTTCCCTTTAATATACAAGGTATATTATATATTTTTCCTTTAATATACACGGTATATTATATTTTCTCTTTAATATACAGGGTATATTAAAGGAAAACGATGTTTAACGCAATGTCTTTCCTCTAGGACGGTGTTTCAACGCACAATTTGGGCTTGAAAATCTTCCAGCAAAGTGAAAACTTGAATCGTTTTCATTTCTTCGCTCACACTCGGCGACATTCACTGTGACGTAGTAAATCTTTAACCGTGTCAGTATCATTTTTTGGTGATAATGTTACTGAAGATGCGTCTGAGGAACCGAGAAGAATTATTAGGATCTTAGTCAGGAGATGACGGGAAAGCTACATATATACTTAAACTGCAAAGGACCTATTTTATCCTATATTACATAGGTTATAAGATCCAATACTGCGTTACCAATTGAATCAACCAATACCTGAAATTTGATAAAGACGTCTCCCGAAGTTAATTCAATGTTGTCAGAACATCAGCTTCAAAATGCTCAAACCTAAATCATCAGATAAGTTTTTTCTTTGATTGATTTGAGTAAAGATTAAAGGAGTTGAAAAAATATTGACTCTTCCGCATTGAACCGACCGTTTTCTTTTGAATGATGCTGCGATATTTTGGAATTCACAGTTACAAAGCAGTGCTTTGCATGCACAATAAAGATTACAACTGATACAAGAAACTTGCGATTCGAAAGTGCAGGTCTTCGTGCCTAGGCGCATTTAAATATTTCCCCTCTACACGCTACGTAGCTGTCATCCAACCATCCACACATGGTCTATTTTTCTGAACCGGGCTAATGTCCTCGAGTGGATATGAAGAAGAAGTATCCATCCTGGAGTCAACAGAGCACAAAATATGTCCAATTTATCGTGCACTGGACTCACGCGACAACAGCTCAGCCCAACTGACCTCAAAACTACGGTAGAGTCAGCTGTCTCACAGATGGTGGCGTCTCAACCTCATCCAGACCTCTATACTGAAAGCAGGGTAGCTCTATTCTGTTTTCCCTTCTGAAAGATATATTCAGTCATGTTCTAATTTTTTCACTGGAAACAAACACAATTTTTTCGTAGTTTTTGAATATCTTCAGAATTGCAGAAATTATTGCCATAATGTATAAATGTTATTTTAGCGAATCAAATTCTATTTTTTTTTTTCACGGCAAATGGGTAAATTATTCCCAGTCCGTAATAAGATTAAGATGTGTCGAAGAGAATTGTTACGTGCATGTGGATGCAGCTCATAAATATGAAAAAACGCCACGATAGGGAAAATGAGACACTTAAAATGGGGAAAAAATTCATAGGGTCATCAATGAATTTCTTTCACGTGGACAAAATCGAGTAACTTAGATGGCACAATTTCTGCATGCAAATCACGACGAATCAATTCATCTGATCACTCCTGAAATCAGTAAAAATTCTAAATAGCAAGTGACACCAATAAACTCACTTGTAAAATTGATGCGCTAGCCGTTACTTCGATTAAAAAAATTGAACCAAATGACTTAGATTGTGATTCAGGCTGCTGAGATTGCACTACATTGCCGTTATAAAGGGAATGCATAGCATGAACAACTGTCACATGCTACACGGCATGAAAAAGGATAGCCCGATAAAAAACATCATGCACCCCAGCCGGTACGGCATGAAGAGTTTGAATGACAAGCATCGTGAGAAAAATAATATCGACGAGCAAAGACATACGCAGTTATTTGGGATTTCTGTGCATGGTTATGAGAATTAAATTAGCGTATATTCTTCCTCTGAAAAAGACATTATCATTGATGAATTATGCAAAGATATTTTTTAGAGATATTTTAAATATTTTTTAATGTTGTCTGATGATTTGCAGGCATAACTTCGGCAAAAAGTTCAATGTACGCAATCGCTATAGATTTATATAGCCCATTCAGATAAAGCTCAATTTGGATTGGCTGACTTTCAAATTGAACGTTAGACATTTTTTCTTCCTTTGCAGTCACTAAAAAAATATCTCCATCATTGAAGACGATTCCTGAGACTAAAGCCCATGCGTCTCTGTAAATTCAATCATGATGATTTGAAAATTAACTTTTGGGATTTAGTTGGATTTATAATTTAGACTCAGGAAAGACGGATTTAATAGAACACGCTAATTTAGCATCATCAAGATCGTAAGAATCAGCGGTACCATGACGCGTTTGTAATCTTTCGTACGCTATTCATAATTGTCCCTATACCTGTTGTTCCTAATCAACACGTGGATCATATGGACTGCGCGCACGAGTCTTGTTGTCTGGGTGGCGAGTGACATATCCAGGAGAAACGGATCACCCGATGCGGTTGGCGACTTCCATGCGACGCTGGAACGTTGTGTGTCTGGCGCGTGCAGCAGACTTGAGGATCAGACTGGACGTGGCCAGTGTGATGCCAGCAGCCGTCATGGAAAGAACAACAATGCGGCGGTGCAACGACAAACCGCTCAGTGTTTGCATTGATAGAAAGCAGATAGAGCTTAGTATGTTATTTCTAATGAATATATTTGGAGTGAATTGACTACGTTGAGTGAGATTAAAAACTGTGTTCGGTGAAGCAGCAACAAACTTGTTTTGGAAGACTGAATTCTTTATTTTTTTGACTGGGATAAGATTCATTGTTCTTGAGAAAAGAGAGGCGTAGATTATTTAAATATTTGTTTCCGTGCTTATTTGTGTAATCAATGTACGAGGCTACGATTTTTCTTACCCTAGGTGTATATTTAAATCTTTATCTCGATTTCCCTTGGTGATCCCAGATTTCCTGTTCACGGTCTTGATGGCTATAAATTATTCTCCATAATTAATAACTTTCAGTCTCAGTGTATTCTTTCATCAACTAATTTCCGTGACAGTGGCCAATTTATAAATTTTTAATAATTATGAAAAACAAAAATCATATTTCTTGAAAACACAACATTTCACAACGTTTTTTCTCCCATATCTAACGCGTTGCTTCATTTCATTCGATCGTACATACATACACTGACGAATGTTTGTCTGTTATGCATTTTTCTGAGTATGTTTTTTTAAAGGTTATGAATACTCTACAGTATGTTTGTTTTACTCTTTTTGGGATCTCCATCCAATGGCTTTCTTCTAATTGTGAAATTTCTCTACTCCCGTTCAGAACAAAACTATTTGCTTATGATCGCCCGATAATCTCAACTTGCTTCAATTGGAAACATTTTTTAGTCATTCTATGTAGGTAGGTCCAGAACCTTTCCAATGTGAAGTCGCTGTGCTGCATCGGTACTTAATCTATGGGCATTAAACTTTCAAAATTTTAATTTTTATTACTTTATCAAATATATTTTTGCAAACCATACCAGCATCTCTATCACATAGAAAACTCCGCTGGTCGATCTACATTTTAATTTAATAAGGAATTTCGTATCGAATTTTCTTTGAATTTGTTCCAATCTATTGCCTTACAACGATGCGCATTGGGGACGTCTTACGGATCTCAGAACTTCTGGTTGTGGCCATTCCTTATCTCATCTTCATCTTATCTCCAATCGTTTGGGCTATCCGGAATCTGGTCTTCATTAAATAAGTGAATATTTTTCATAAAATTAGAGGCATTCAACCTGATTGTTTTTCATCTTAGCATAAATTATTCAGCCGTCGTGATATTTGTTCTTAAAACCCGAAAATATAAACGATAGTAAGGGTCAAAGGTATGTTAACACTTTGACTATATTGTGTCACCGAGGAAATTCAAGTATTTCGTTAACAAGCTTTTTTTAAATCAAGACTACGATAAAGAAAAACAACACCATGGGAGGGAGCGAAGAAACTTCTAAAGGCCAATATAAGGTAAGTCTTGAGTATAATAATAATAATAACAGTAATAATAATAATAATAATAATAATGATAATAATAGTAATAATAATAATAATATTAATAATAATAATAATAATAATAATAAAGGAATGAATCACTCATTCCTATAAGAAGTTTCTCTTATGTTACATCAACAGACGTGAACAAATTCCGTGTTCTGAGAGCTCGAGCCATGCAACGTTGAGTTGAGCCACGGCTACACGCCATATTTGGCAACTATAGATACGCGTCAATGCCACATGGACTGCATGGGCTATTCTAAATTATTGTGGTTTAATTATGTATTAAATAGATTTAGGCTTCATATTTGTATTAAGATTTAATCGGTGCCCTCTGCAAAAATAATAATCGCTGTTTGAAGAGTGAATAACTTTAACTTTGTGAAAATTTAAGTCGGATTTAAAAAAATATAGAACTCAGTACTCACTGCAGTGAGTGACAGAGAGCGCATTTTCTCGTCGCCGAAAACCTGAAGTCACGGACGGACGGACGATCGGACATAGCGAGCACAATAGTGCATTTTTTCCATAAACGAGAAAATGCGATAAAAATGAAATGTCTTTAAAATCGCGGAAATTTTTCTTTGGCCTGAGGTACTTTGATGAAAAATAATGGTACCTCATAAGATGGGGTACTTTGTGTCTGTGTATAGCTAATAATCAGAATTTACTATGTTTTCATTTAGTTGATTCTTATGTTGTTTTATTATAAAAGCCCCAACTAGATCACGGCGGCTTGCAGTAATTATGTCGTTTCATGATCATTTTTTCAGACCACAGAAAAAATGGCTGCGTTTGATGGGGATAGTTTTTCGTTTGCCATTTTTCGATTTACGTGGATCTTTATAGAATGTCGGCATGAATGCTATTGTGGAGACGTTATATTAGGTTGATTTTCGTTCTCTGTCACATTCATTACGATCACATTTGACATTCCTTCGTCGCTGCGCTCTAACGGAAACGATTTACAATCGCGTTCTTTTCACTTATGACTATAAAATTCTAAAATTTCAACAGCATTTTTGTGGAGGACGAAAGAGCTACTAACGACGAAAGAGTGTGGACGAAAGAGCTACTAATTCAGTTATTAGTTGACTGACGAAGAACGTGTCGCAAGTTTCAGCTGCCATTGCTACTTTAATGTTCATTTAAAATCACCACTTGTAGTGACATGCATCGCCAGCATCAAATTTTTATTGATTGAAGTTGATTATTGAATCCGAATTTAGAGCATGGTGAGTATAACAAAAATAATCTGGCTTAAAAGTTGAACATTTAATTAAATATTAAATTGAATCGTGGAAGTTTTCTCGTGCATATGAAATAATGGTGACTGAATTTGAGCTGACAAGTGGAAAATACGAATAGTAGTTTCTTGTATCAACTGCGTTGATTTCTAGGTGCATACAAGGTCATTAAGAAACCCCTGTTCATGTTGACATGCGGTGCAAGAGTAGCTAGGTCAGACGCATGCACGAGTGAGTCTGAGTCTGTCAACACAACTAGAAATAACCTGAAGCTTAAACAACAGAACCTTCATAATAAGGAAGCAAGTTAAGTATCTTATGAAACAGCCACGCAAAATACATACAAGAAAATATTCAAACCTGTAACGATAACGAAACTATACAAATTTAATAATAAGTTTTTCAGCTTACAATTTCTAGAATATAAACCTAAAAATGGAGGCTGATATTATTAGATGGAATTTTTAAAAATCACTTATTAGCGGCAACTGCTTTATGTAAATTAAATGAAAATATAATAGAATTTTCATTGTAGCGTTAAACCTCTTTGCTGCAATTATATGACATTAGATCAATAAATATTATAGACAGGACTAACATTATTGATGAAATAGTGAATAAAGAAAGTGTATTTAATGCAATGTGATGCTAACGTAACTGTTGCTAACAATTTGGTGGTGGAAGTATATAATAAACAAAATGATATGTCTCGGTACATCTTCCATCAATATTTGTTTATATATCCACATTATTTAAGCACTTATCGACCGCAAAACCCCATGACCTAATACAAAGCGTTAATTTATCCCTATTGAATATTGTCGCCGGCCATGAGCTTGAATAGAATAGAAGTGTTTTCCCTGAAGATAATAGGCCCATGGCCTGTTGCCGATTCCTTTACTTTTCGTGTTTTTTTTTCTTTTTCGTTGAGAAGCTGGAGGCCATGTCTTCTAAAATTCACCCGTGATCGTGCTGAGAGTCCTTTTGGCGCCGAGTTCAAGTTTTTGCTCGAACGCAGTTCCAAACAATCATTTCCTGAGCCAACTTCTGGGTTACACTAGCGACCTTCAGGTCTTCCTACGCTTTATTGTGCTTATTCTCACGAGGAGGCAATTAGAGTAATTTCTATGGCTTTATGGAGCTTGAAATTCGCATGAGAATATGAATGGAAACCATGAAGAAAGTAAATTATTAGTTTGACTCACTTCCGGGTGAAGGCTTAGCAAAATTGAAACGTGTTTCTCTACTAAATCAAATTTCAATTAATGCTTACTGAGCAATTTAGTGGCGGCTGATAAAAGGAATACGATATACGCATATTGCACTGAACACTGATTCATTTAACTTTCATTTCTCGAAATCGAACATATTCGCGTTCCGGAAGATGAGCATTGAACACTTGAGAAAAAAACTTGGGTCAATGTTGACCACGTACATCGAAAAAGTTTACAGAATTTTTTTTTTTTTTGCCACGAAATGTGGAAGAGGAGCTTCGACAAAAAAATACAAGGAGCTTGCAATGCTCAATCATGTTCGGCACAAACCTGCATATGTGCGTAAATTCAATTAAGAGAGTAGCCATCGTCTTACAATGCACGTACGTATCCTGCGAACGATTAATGCAGATTCTACAGAGTTCATTGCTTATATTGACTAATCAACGATGAACCAATCAAATAAAGGGCATTATTTGCAATTTGAACATCATACAGTACGGTAACCAAACATCTAATACTGCGAGTCTTCCAAGGTTAGAAGTTGTGAAAGCGATTTGAGAAACTATATGATAATCATTATTGGAATGTCACGCGAAGAAATTTAAGATGTCAGAAATTTTTTTTTATATCTTCAATTTACATGTCTGAAATACCAACATAAACGATCATTATTTGGGATTGATGATACGTAACTTACTTCAAAATTTTTTTTTCACTGGCGATCCATTTAGAAAACTGCATCTCACAAAATATATCATGAGAATTCATTTATGTCAAGACCCTTGATCTGTAAACAAACCAAGTAATTTTTTTTTTTCATTCTAGTCGATTCTAAGAGCATATAAGTTTATCCGATAAATGCCATTTCTGTTTCTTTTATACATGTATTAGCATGATAGTTACTTTAAAAGGAGCGTCAAAACCCATTTGTTATGTAATATATAAGTCAATCTTGACATTTTGTACGGCAATTCAAAGTTTTTTGATAGGTATTTACTGCATACCAACTCAACACACGAATTACACTTATCATGAGAGCAGTGCTTCAGATTTGCTGCTAATTTTTCATGAAGCTATTGAACGTTAAGCTTGAACGGCTGCAGGGCCTATGTTGACCAATGGCCTGAAGGGGTGAAGGTGAAATGAGATCATTGCACCAGGCTTGTGATGGGGGATGGGGCAAACTAGGGTTCGAGGTACGGTTGTTATGTGGTCAATAGATTAATTCAAACACATGGACGAATTATTGACAGAGACTGTCGGTCGTCAATGTGACGGAGACTGTAACACTAACAATGGATCATTTGTCACTGTGACTGCTATAGTTATCCCTGCTTGTCAAGATCAATTGGCAAGTAGCCTATAGGGAAAGACATCTCTTGCTGCCCCAGTTATTCTCCTACACGTGAACTCAAATAATAAAGTATTAATTTTTATGTTTATTACATACATGAAAAACCTTGAATTAAAATGAGTCTTCAAATGTTTAAGACTTTGTTGAATTTCTTGACATAAAAAATGCACTCTTTAAAGAGTTAAGATGGACCAAAATTGGTGTGTCAGAGGCCTATAAAATCGAGTTACTGAATCAGCTTAAAAATAAATTTGGGCGTGAAAATCTATGTTGATGAAAATAGTTATGATGAAAAATAATATTTAGCACTGAGTGCCCCAAGACATGGGCACGGATAGGGGCTACATGCGTCTCGCCAGGTAGACAACTCGAACACGGAAGTGTTCTGCAGCATCCAGCGCGGGTATGCAAGACCACATGGAGGAAGTATGCTCTTCCATACACAAAAAATGCATTTCAGCGATGCTCATGACAAAATTAAATCTATTTTTTCTTAAAATAGACTTGTATTGTCTCTTTTGTGACGATATATTCGATGAATTTAAATTATTGGGTCAATATCACCACTGCATTCTGATATCAGATATTTTTACTCTGGTTAACTTTAATGCCACTAGCTGCATACACGCCTAGCAGATTTCTACCAATTTTATAATGACTTCATTCACTAGTGAGTTATTTATGAGGCTTTATAATTATCGTTTACTATGTCAACAAATTTGTACAATTTTATGATTGATATAATTGGGCAGAAGTTCTTACTGTATGCATGCTTGCAGACCACATAATATATTTTTATGAACAATTTTCTTATTTTTTCTTATGAGTCGAACGGAGTTTCTTCCTGGTTTTGGCAGATCACTTTCATGCTTCTGGCGAGTGAAATGTCATTTTCTATTTGCCCAAACATGTAATATTATTACCCTTTCATGTTTATAATACATATGTTAATGAAAAAATCACACTTTTTTGCTCGTCGCTAAATAACTGGCTTCTAACCAAATGATTTCCATGTTTTAAATTATTCATTTCAACATTCATTATGACGTGGATAATCTTCATAGATTCCTTACCATGTTACTAATCATAGAACCGTTCAATAATAATTTTTTTGTACCATATCTTTCAAAACAATAATTCCGATCTCAATATTTA